ACCATTTGATTGAGAGAAAGAAGTTATTGGCCAAAAGAAATCCCGTCCAAGCAATCAAAAGTTGTGTGCAAAGTTGGCATGAGATTGAGAAAAAAAAAATTTAAGTATAAGCCACACAACCCTTGAGGAGGTGTAGCTTATCGCCTATGCTAGAACACCTTCTGTCAAGGATGACATAATGATGCTTAGAAAAGCATTATCTTGCTTATTCCATAAGAAATAAGTCTAGTTAGGAGTATGTGTAATTGCGACAGTTTCGGAATGAGAAGCGTCGACAGTCATTAGAGGATGAGGGATGGTGCCATCAATAGATCCATATACATCTTGACCACGAAAATATGGCACAAGTTGTGCTTTGCACGGGAGGTAATTTTCATGAGTGAGTTTAATAGTATTAATGGTGGGCATAATGGCGAAGATAGAGAGATTTGCAAGGTTCTGATATGAAGTGGAGGAAGAAGGAGAATACATTTTGGGTGACATTAGTCTACTGACTCAATGATACCATGTAAGAGTTTGAGAAATACTTTTTCTGATTATATTAATTTCAATTATTCTCATATAGAATATATAGTGTATCTACACAACTGAAGTCCTATACAATAACCTAATTAATTTCATATAGTTTTGACTCTCGTAAGAGTTTGAATTTAAACAAACTATATCAGGATTCTATTTTCTCCTACCTTGGACTAATTCTTCCACACTTAATTTCTTTAATATTTATATAGAAATATATAAATAATTCAGATCGAATATATGTATATCTAAATTTTAATTCGAAAATATAAGATTTCGAATTTAGATTCATTTCAGATTATCAATAAAAAAAATGTCAATTCATATTATACTAAGTCGGATCGAATTTGGATAAAAATCTGATCCATTGATAGGCCTAATTAGAGTACACATATAATTAATAGGAAGCTATAATCGCGTTGGACTGAGGCCTACAAAATTTTATTAGGCCGAACCATTTCTTTTTGGGATTTTTTAGAAGCCGATATACCTTTTAACACTTATTAAGCTAAAAGTCAAAATAGGAAGTATTTTGGCTAAAAGTCTATTTGGAAAACAAATGTCTAATACACTCTTAACAATAAAATAAATGCTCTCATAAAACCAATTAGGAAACTTTACTTATAATTAAAACACATTTGGAAACTAAAATTCCTAAATTCAAGGGCCTTTTTTTGTTCTCAAAATTCTAGAAAAGAGAAGCTGTTTGGCTTGGGTTTTTAGTTCTCTAATTTATGAAAACAATGGATGTAAAGAACAAAAAAAGGGAAACAAGTTGAACTTGTTTTGAGTGTTTTGGAGACAAAAGAAGAGAAAAAGGGAAACATGAAGAACACACCTCTCTTTAATGAGGTCTACCCTTTGAACCTCCTTAGTAGCAAAATAGATTTTACTATACAAAGGTTTTTTCTTTTGCCTCTCTTTCTCTGTCTCTCTCTTTTCCTTTCTTTCTCCTCGAATTTCTATGTCTTCACTTCGGCAAAACCAGACAAAAACACACACACACGATCTGTCTTCTCCGATGATCTCCAGCGTCTTTGTAAGATCTGCGTTCAAGGTCTTCTTCTCCATTTTTTTTTTGGTTCAAGATCTTATTATGTGGTTATTATTATTATTTTTTTGCATCTTGCTTTAGATCTGGCTTTGGACACAGACACACAGGGGGATTCAGATCTGTGTTTGATCTGGTTCAATCGGCGATCAAACATTAATTTTTTTATCTGTGTTTTGTATATTTTGTATTTTATTTTTGATGAAAACTATTGAATATGTTTGATTAATTTTTGAATAACTGTCCGAACATGTTTTACTGTTTTCTGTTCTGTAAAACTATTTTTGAAATCATCTAACCAAACAAGTTATTCGTCTCAAAAAATATTTAAAATATTTCTCTAAAACTCTTCTCAAAATTATTTTCGAATACTATTTTTTTAGATTCAACCAAACAAACCCTAAGCATTTTATAATTATTAGAACTCCTTCTCTCTCTATATATATATAAAAAATATTAATTTACACTACAAAAAACTATGACATAAGAAAAAAAACAGTGAAACAAGGAAAAAAAATAGTGGTAATGGAAAAAACAGTGACACAATGAAAAAAAAAAGTGACACAATAGAAAAAATAGTGACACATGGAAAAAACAGTGCCAAATGAAAAAAAATTGATTAATAACCTTGAATCTTGAAAAGCAATAAAATATGACAAAAGAAAAAGAAAACCTGAGATGATAATGGAATAAAAAGTCACGCGCTACTCTCGATAATGGTGTCTTGCCAAGAACCTCGTGGTCGGATGCATAAGCACGAGCATAATCGAAACCATTACAGAAAATAGAGTCTTATTCAATAACACCGCCAAAGTGAGGTCTCCACCACTCGAAATAGCCAGCCCAACCGTTCGATTCTTCTTCTTCTCCATCGGAACCATAGTCTCTTGATTAGGCACTACTGAGAATGGGAAGTGTACACCCAAAACCAAAATTTCATACTTCTTCAATAGAGAAAAAATAGGGGAGGAAAGAGAGAAGAAAAAAATAGGGAAAAAGAGAGAGTAAAATGCCTGGAATATGCAGGGGAGAGAGAATGCGTTTGAGAATAACAATGGGGATAGAGAGTGCGAGAGATAAAACATAGGGGGAGAGAGTGAGAGATGATAATAAAATTCATCTTTCGCACTTCTTCAATAAAGAGAGAGAGAGAGAGAATAGGGAGGAAGAGAGAGTAAAAGTGCCTTGAATTCGTGCGGGGGTAAAGAGAGAACGAGTTTGAAAGAGAAAATAAAAGGAGAGCGAGAGTGAGAGAGATAAAAAATAGAGGAAGAGAAAGTAAGAGATGATAATGTAATATTAATTTTGTTTTAATTTTCAAACAGTACTTTTAGATATTTGAATTTTTTTGTTCTTCTTCAAAATTTAAATAGTAAATAACATTCAATGAATATTGAAAATCTCAAATCTAATATTTAAATATTTGAAAACATCGAAACTATCAATCAGGTATGCAGTATTAATAAAAGATGATCAATGAATATTGAAAGTCTCAAATTTAATATTTAGATATTTGAAAACATAAAAACTCGTAATTTAATAGGCAATATTTATGGTAAGGATAATTAGGTAATACAAAAAAAAATTGAAATTTATACTTAATGATAATTATTTGATAAAAAAATTGATTTAATAGAGTAAAGTTTAACTAAGGTAATTAAAACTAAATAATTTCTAAAAAAAAAATATACCCACGGCCAAATAAAAACAAGGTCCAGGCAATAGAACTTAAAAGAAGAGTGTGGAACATACTAGCCCTTGATTTCATGTAGGCCATTGAAAATGAAACAAGAGATTGTGAAAATGAAATGCCACGAGGATGTGACACGTGCACATTGATCAGCCAAAGAAGTCATATATTATTGGTTCTGAGGTGTCCATCTGGATTTTCAACAAGAAGAGGATGGTTCTGAATTGCCCCCACCATGTCTTCACAATAAAAGTTTCTTGATTCAATATATTTTTTTTAGTTTTGATCATTCAAAAATGGGTTTGGTTTTAAGACAATGCTTTAAATCAACGAGACATTATTGATTAATTTATTTTTGCTGAATTCAAGTTATAATGTGACAATTTTTATTTTTTAGTTTTAGTTTAATGATGAGGTGTATTATGTCAGTTTATGTGTACTTCAACTAATCTCATCTTCAATTCAATCAAAGACAAATTATCCGCCTAGAAATTAGAATATTCATAAGAAATTAAGTGGTGGATAACTATTTCAAATGACTCATTTAGTCATCTTAAATTAGAGTAATGTTACACTAACCAAATTTATTGATCAAATATTCATCCCAAATGACATGACAACATATTATTTTGAGTATTTATTGGGGCCCAAATGACATGACACCAAATAAAGAAGAGTAATGCTAGACTGGTCAAATTTTAGAACCAAATTTAGATCCCAAATAACATGACAGTTGACTATTTGAAGTTTTTATTGGGATCCAAATGACATGACACCAATTAAAGAAACTCAAGTCAACTGCCATGTTATTTAGGTTTCAAATTTGATTCCAAAATTTGGTTAGTCTAACATTACTGAATAAAGAAACTCAAGTCAACTGTCATGTCATTTTGGATGAATATTTTGGTCCCAAAATTCGATCACTCTAGCATTACTGATTAAATTATCGACTAAAATTAATTTTTTGTTACAAACATTAGATTTATAAAAGTATTTTTCGTTATTATTCCTCACCAAATGAAAAATAATTTCCTAATATTTATGGAGGAGGGAGAAGCTTGAACCCCAACCTCGTACCTATTTACTTCCTAGACACCTCCATTTTGTTTGTATCCAATCTAATCATCCACCTCAAAAACTAACCATGTCCACCTACTTTATGCCGCAATATTCAATACAACACTATGTTATCATTATTATGTTATTATTATTATGTAGTGTTATTATCTTATATGTGTTAATTATTAATAGTTATAAAAATAGTAAGTTCCTTTTGACCATTTGTAATTAAATGATGATATCATTTGTCAGTGATAACCATTGCATTGAAATTTTTTTTATTTTTTCTGTTATAAAATATTTAAATTTACACCGATTATTTCTTTAAATTCAACAATTGACCATATAATTCGAACTGAATTAAAGCAAAAGGGACAATAAGGATGACTAATGCACGAAGAGTGTAAAAAAAATTTGAATGTAAAACTTCGGAATTATCAAATGTCTGACTCCTAATACAGAGAATCCCCATTTGTGTGGCCGTTGGCCGTTTGGAATTCGTAAGCCAATCCACAGAGTTTTCCACTCTTTCACTTTCTCGAACAACTCAACCTCACAGACCCACATGGCCACCCTATATAAATTCAACCCCCATACTATTCCCGCAACCCAACTTTTGAAACTGATCAGCTTCTGTTTCCACCTTTCTCTTCAGCATTAAACTCTCAACCGTTTTGATCACTTCTACAGTCCGATGGCTACCTCCGTCTCACCCGTCGGAGCTGTCAACCGACCATCGGTAGTACTTTATACCGCCCTTCTTTACCCACTATCTATATGTAGTTCTGTGGATGTCTTTCTCTTCGATATTATCGAGCGGACTCTTATTTTTTTCAGTCTTTATGCCATCCATTCTTGTTGGTTTAATCGGTTTCGCCTAGATTCATCTAATTAGCTGATAAACTATGGTTTTTTTTTTTTTTGTAATAAGTAGTCTGAATTTCGCTATAATATTTGGCCAGAATCAATTGTAAAACAATGATGATTTTAATTGGAATGTGAGTGGTTTAATGGTGACCCTTTGAATTGCATGCTTCTGAGACTGAGTTTTTAGTGGGTTTTTTATTTTCTGGGTTTCGATTTTCGAAAGATTTAGCATAGAACATGGAATCTGTTATTTCCTTTGAATTCTGCCGTGCATTGGGTTTTAAGATGGGGTCATCGTTGTTGCAGTTGAATTTCAATGGCTATGGTATCGGAACTTCAGTTCCAAGCACAGCATTTTTTGGTAGTAGTTTGAAGAAAGTGAACTTCAAGACCACCAGCCCCAAGATTTCATCTGGTGGGGGCTTCAAGGTTGTTGCTGAAGTGGATGAGCAGAAGCAGACCAACAAGGATAGATGGAAAGGCCTTGCATTCGATATACAGGACATCACTAGAGGTACGGGAATGGTGGATTCTCTCTTCCAAGCTCCTACGGGTTCTGGTACTCACAATCCCATCATGACTTCCTACGATTACATCAGTGCAGGCCTTCGACAGTAAGTGCTCAAAACCCCGTAATTCGCAAAAGATTGTATCTTAGTATTGGCAATCTTATGTATGAGTGTTTGTTTTTCTGTCCAATGTTACTTGTGGGGGACTTGATTCAGCTAATATTGTATATTAACTGTTTGATTAGATACCAATTGGACAATAACATGGATGGCTTCTACATTGCACCCGCTTTCATGGACAAGGTTGTTGTTCACATCACCAAGAACTTCTTGAACCTGCCCAACATTAAGGTTTGCTATCTAGTAAACTTCATAAACTTAGTTTTTGATTGAAGCCAAGAAAATAATTTTCAGAAAATTTTCAATGCAGGTTCCCCTGATCCTGGGGATTTGGGGAGGAAAAGGTCAAGGAAAATCATTCCAGTGTGAGCTTGTCTTTGCCAAAATGAGAATTAAGTAAGTTTATGTTATTTTCTTTTAAGTTGAGAGAAAAAAAAAACATTTGGAGTTGATTTCGAAGATCAAATTTTGATATACTTGTTTGATGCTTACTCTATGGTCTTATGACAATGAAAATTTTCAGCCCCATTATGATCAGTGCCGGAGAATTAGAAAGTGGGAATGCAGGAGAGCCAGCAAAATTGATAAGGCAAAGGTACTGCAAGGCAGCAGACATCATCAAGAAGGGGAAAATGTGTGTGCTATTCATCAATGATCTTGATGCAGGGGCAGGTAGACTTGGTGGAACTACGCAATGCACAGTCAACAATCAGATGGTGAATGCCACTCTGATGAACATTGCTGATAACCCAACCAATGTTCAGCTCCCTGGTATGTACAACAAGGAGGAGAATCCCCGAGTTCCTATCATAGTCACCAGTAATGACTTCTCCACATAGTACGCTCCTCTTATTCGTGATGGTTGCATGGAAAAATTCTACTGGGCTCCTACTAGGGAAGACCGGATTGGTGTTTGCACTGGCATTTTCCGAACTGACCATGTTCCTCCAGAGGACATAGTGAAGCTTGTTGATACATTCCCTGGGCAGTCAATCGGTAAGTTTCACCTTAGTGATATGTTGTAAACATACAGATTACAGAGAACTTTTGGGGGCAAAAGAGAAGGTCTCTCTTATCTTTGACAACATGATGAATGTATATTGCCCAGTGATGAAAACACACCGTGAAAAATGAAAATAAAAAAGGAAAACCACCAATTAGTTGATTTATGGAAGCTATTGAGTATTGACAAAGAGGGTCTTGATGTGGCTATACTTCAAACGGTGCCAGTGAAAATTAATGTTCCAAATCAATATATTTGGGTGCAGACTTCTTTGGAGCCCTGAGGGCAAGAGTGTATGACGATGAAGTGAAGAAGTGGATTTCTAGTGTCGGGGTTGAAAATGTTGGGAAAAAGCTTGTGAATTCAAAGGAGGGACCTCCGACGTTTGAGCAACCAAAGATGACTCTTGAGAAGCTCCTTGAGTATGGAAGCATGCTTGTCCAAGAACAGGAAAACGTAAAGAGAGTCCAACTGGCTGACAAGTACTTGAATGAGGCAGCCCTTGGAGATGCAAATGAAGATGATATGAAAAGAGGAACTTTCTATGGTTAGCACCCTTTGTCCTAAAGGCTTTGATTGGAGGTTTGCATCTGGAATATGATTAAGAAGGGATCAAGATTTTAGATGAGTTTGTTTAAGCTTCTTTTTCATTGTTTATGTGCAGGCAAAGCAGCACAACAAGTTAACCTTCCTGTTCCTGAAGGCTGCACTGATCCAAATGCACCAAACTTTGATCCAACAGCTCGGAGTGACAATGGGAGCTGCCTGTACCAGTTCTAAGTATGTTCTAGGAATTAGAGTATGTCAACAACAGAGTAGCCACAAAAATGATGTATGTATTTAATGATGTCAAATATGCTTTCTAGACTGTCTTGTAATTGTGTTCTAATGCATGCTTTCTTTTGAACTTCCAATTTTCCAACCTCGAGTTATGCATGGCTTTAATAATTAAAGCCCTTACAAATTGTTTTTTTTTGCTGTTCAACAGTTATTTGCTGTGTTCATTTTTCTGTGCCTTTTCCATGCCATCCCCATGGCCTATATAAATGCAGGTGGTGTGTATTACTATAGTGCCACATGCTGTTTAAACTTTCGATAAGTGCACAATATTTTTCTTGGGTCACAAAAAAATGAGACAAATAGCGGAGTCTGAGAGATGTAATTGGTAGTTAGACTTCGATTCTTTTAGAAAAAGGCCATATGCAATGCACTCGCTTCCCTCTGATACCGGAGCCTGTGAGATGTAATTGGTAGTTAAGACTTCAATCATTCTCAGACATTAATGAAAAAGGAAATTCACTCTTTTTTTTTTTTTTTCCTGTTACTGGTTCACAAAACATCATTTTTAGGTAACATAAACCCCATAAGCATCAGCCAAAACTCAAAAGATATACATCATGAAAATTTAGAGGTGAAAAACATTCCAATGTTTTTACCGAAGGGAAGGCGACTTTCTAGTAAGCAAATTTCATTTTTAACTGTATGACCAATCCTTTCTTATGTTTTCCAGTTTTAGCAACCATAGGCCATTCAAGTCAAGTAATTTTACTCCAGCAATATATTTTTGTTGATTCAGTTGGGATGTGCTTATGTTTTCCTTTCCATTCATTAACGAGAAAAAGTATCCCCAAGCTTGTGAGTAAACAAAAAGGGGGAACACCTACAAACCAATGTCAGTTGGAGAAAAAATTTGCCTATATAAGAAGCCATAGCATGAATCCTTCTAAATTGTTAGGTCTTATCAGGTGAACAAGGCTTCTGCCTGTAGTAAAGTCTGAAAGAGATAAGTGATCGACAGCCTTATACCCCCATATACTTGTATCACTGGTTTTTTTTTTTTGAGTTCTATAAAACAATCACTGAGGCATCCACAAAACTTCTGCAAGCAAATGAAAATAAGATTCTATCTTTCAAATACCAACCCTAAAGTATATATAACACACATGATTTGGGATGTCAATCATGGAGGATACCAAGTTTGGGACATCTGTGCCTCACATGATATATTTCAGGAATCATTATAAAGTTCCGATAGAGGAGTTCCTATTTTGAAGAAGTGAAAATTATACCCATTAGCCAATTTGAGGGGCCTCGGTGACTTTGCCTGAGGAATCAACATATAATCGGACCCTTTGGGGGTTGTATTCCAGGGTAAAAAAGCTACCAGGTGGAATCAAATGAACTTGAACTTCTGGCATTTCCCCCTTTATTTTTGTTTCTGCTTCTTCTGCCGTCAGGCCTACCACCTCTGGCCATGTCTTTCTTGCTGCTGTAATTGATCCAAATACGTAGTCCATTGACCCTGGATATTTCCATTTTAGCAAACAAGTCATCATAACATTATGGCATAAGAGACCACAGTACAAAATAGTTTAGGATTATAAACAGCCGATATTCTGCTGTTTCTGGAACTTATAGTTGCATATATACAACAATTAATAAAACTCAACCCCATTTCTCAATTGTAAAACCTTTCAATCTGTTCAAAATTTGAAGTTTCAACAGATGAAATTCAACCCAGTAAGAAACTGTTAAAGCAACATACATGGTAACACGATCTTCCTATGAAATCTCAGAAAAGACAGTGAAAACAAGAAGCGACTCCTTGAATTTGTTATTCAAACTGTTTACTATCTTTCAGCCTATTGGAAGGTGATATGTCTTCCTTTTTTTTTTTTTTAATTTCTCAAAATTATTAATGTAAATCGCAGCAAGAATGAGTAAAGGGAAGATTCCATCTAAAAAATTTCAGAGCAATAATACGTAGAATAGTATCAGCATACATGATTGTGATCATAAGTTAGCCACTCAGGACTTGCTGGAAACAAACATTACATGGTTAGCCGTATAATTTCAGAAAGAAATAGAAGGAAATGGCATACCTCGTGGGAGCACAAACGTTTGTTCCCCTTGCTCTTCTGGAAGATTGGTTTGTTGGTTCTCCTCTGCCATAACCGTTAAGAACAGGACAATCAGTGCTAAAGAATGAACTTTTTTCTGCATATTTGCTCCAACTACAAAAGAAAGTTATCTCGATTTAAAGGCCAAAAAAATCCAACCTAGATCCCCTCGGTTTTATCAATTCGATCTTCTCATGGCAGCAGAAGCAGACCGGCCATCACTAGCATACATGTTTTCTGGCACACTGTGGACAAGATTCCAAAATCTGTGGAGGTCGATTTGGTCATTCTGTGTACACAATAATAAATTGTGTTTTGCAACAAACATCATTTGATTCATATTTTTGGCCCCTTGCAACCTTGGATGGATATTCTTCTCTCGAGCTATATGTTAATGTCAACTGCTCCAAATGCTTAAACTTATAAAAAGCGACACAACATAAGTATTAGAGATGTCAACTGCTCTAAAAGCTTAAATAGATAGAGAGCAATATAACATAAGTATTTGTCTTATACCGGTCTTGGTATGTGATTGTATAGTATAGAAAGAGAGGCGTTGTTGGTATGGTTTGATGCCAGGACTTTGAGGCTTCGATTCGCATGTGAAGCCACCAACTCATCTGAATGCTTGAACTGTTAAAACAGTTGTGGGTAACGTGGTATCAAAGTAGAAGGTTTGGCACCCTAGGTTTGGCCCAAAATCACGCCAGCACCTGAGGAGGCGTGTTGAAGTGTATAAATAAGTTAAGCACACCCTGAATAACATGTTAAACTTTTTAGGTGAGTTGGTGATTAACTCTATACAGGGTGTTCGGACAGTTTGCTAGAAATTGGATGCCCTATCAATGAGTTACACATCTCAATATAAATCTCATCATCTTGCATTCATGTTCACTTGAGAGAGGAGGGTGTCCTGGAGCTCGAGTTTGTGCATGACAAATAGAGATACTTTTGAGCTCATGATCAAGAGAATCATTCATCATCATTTTTCAACAAATTGTAAAGTTCTATAAGGTTTTTATTGGAAGGATCATGGATAAGTGTTTTTTAAATGATAATCCAAATACACTTTTTGATAAAGTATTTTTTATTTGAGTGCTTTTTTGCTTGAGCATCCAAACAGTGTTTATTTAATGAAAGTAAGTTTTGAGAAATACTTATTTAAGAAGTAGTTTTTCAATTTTATAAATTATTCCAAACGCAACTTAGTCTAGAGCCCTTCGGTTTTATCAATTCGATCTTCTCATGGAAGCAGAACAGAGGCAGAAGCCAGCCAACTCTAGCATACACGATACATGTTATATTCTGTCGCACTATGTGGACAAGATTCCAAAATGTGACCTGGTTTTGGTCATTCTGTGTGTGCATCACAAGAAATTGCATTGTGCAATGAATATCACTGATTCACATTTCAGCATATATTTCATCAATTTGCGTTTGTCTATGTCATGTTCATTTGAGAAAGCAGAGTCTACGAACTTGTGTTTGTGTTTGTGCATGGAAAATGGAGATATTGTCAAGCTCAGAGAATTTTCTTAACAAATTATAAAGGTCTATAAGGTTTTTATTAGAAGGACCACGTTGATTATTTTGTTGAAGATGATTCAGTTTAGACAATTCTTGGTGGACTGGCAACATTTCTTGAGGCATCAAGGAGTATCAGGACTCAGTCTGGTCTGTATGCCATGGTTACTAAAAAAACCCCGGCATCTCTTCGTTCATTGTTCTTTCTACTTCTTGTTCTGTCAGGCCATACATCGTTTCCATTAGGGAAAATTTCAACCACACCCCTTCTAATTTATCTTATCTTTAAGGACACCCTCTCTAATATTTGAATCTTCAATGACACCCCCTGCCAGATTAAAAATATCAAGTATAATGTAATTTTACTAAATTGCTCAGGATATATTTGAGAACAAACTTCATCCACACCCTTCTCTAGATAAACATATCTTCAATGAGACCCCTTTAGATAAGTATATTTTCAATGAGACCCCATATATTTTCTAATTTTTTTTACGTAATTAAATTTGAACCGATTAAAATTCGATTCAAGCTAATTAAAATTTATTTTTTTATATATTAAAATTTGTGCCAATTAAAAATTATATTTTTTTACGTATTAGAATTTGGGCTAATTAAAATTTTGTTTGAGACAATTACAAATTATTTTTAATCGACTCAAATCAAATTTTAATTAATTCGCATTGAATTTTAATCAGCCCAAATTTTAATATATAAAAATATATGAATTTTAATTGACTTAAATTTTAATAAATCTAATTTTAATTGACACAAATTTTAATAAGTAAAAAAATATAATTTTAATCGACTCAAAAGTTAATTTTAATCGGCACTAACAATTCGGGTAGAGTTCAAATTAACTCAAATTTTAATATGTAAAAAAAAAAAATTTAATAGGCTCAATTTTTTTTAAAATTTTCGAATTAGTAATAACAAATTAGTATTTCCTAACAAATTATTTACTAAAATTGTTATTTATGATTTTTTTTTAAATTTTAACAGTTCAAATTTTAATAAAATTTTATGTAATAAAATTACTTGAGGTTATGTAGAAGTATTTTTGGTATTTTAGATGAATTATTTTTGTTGGAAATAGTAGTTTAATGGTAAGGGGTGTTAGTGATATTAAATTAAACTAGAAAGGATGTCATTAAAAATTCAAAAACTAGAGGAATATTCTTGAAGATGTAGTACACTAAAGGAGGTGTCGTTGAAATTTTCCCTTTCCATTACCACTACACAAACTAGGCTTGTTTTGAAAGCATTTGTTTAACTTATGTTTTTACCATTAAGATGTTAGTTGAACTAACGTTTTTAAAAACTACATGAGATTAGGAATTAGTTTTAAAACCATCCTATTGTGAGAATTTTTTTTCCAAACCACCCTGGTTTCGTAAAAGCTTATACAATGTCAGTTTGGATAGATCGGTGGTAAATGTTACAACCACCAGGGTACCTACCCTACACATTTCGAACTTCAATTAGCCAACCAAAACCTGTTGTTATGTCAACTGAACATATGCATTAAGTTACATGTAGTACATACACAATATTCATTAATGACCAAACCAAATCCATTCCATGGTAGACAATGAAGAAGAGAAGCATTCATCAGCATATTCTTAATATAACATGGAAAAGTTCTACAAGGTTTATTGCTGGAAGGACTGATCAGAAGTGATTATTTTCAGTGGAAGTAACACAGTCTAGCCAGTTCTCGGTGGCCTCTCAACTTTTCCTGAGGAGTCAACATGTATTCGGACTCGACTTGTTCTGTAATCCATAGTAACAAAATGGTTTGGTGGAACAACCTGAATCTCAGCCCTTGGAAAATCTTCCTTGACCTTTTTCTCTGCTTCTTCTGCTGTCAGGCCTACCAATTCAGGCCATGACGTTTTCGGAGCTCCGGCCAGTCCAGTGCTATGCCCACTTGACCCTGAAAACCTCTCCATTAAACTAAACAAATTATCAAATAGTTACCATCAATGGCAGTGGTACCAAAACATTTACTGACTACCACTCTAAGCAATTCAATATGCATCCTTGTTATAAGTTACAACCACAGTGATCATTAGGGCCTCTGCTTTAAATTTTGCATTTACTGAAATGGCCTCTCTCTCTATGCTTACAGAGGAAAGACTGCATATAACTAATTCTCCTCAAACCCGCAATGGAGGGAGAGTCGTACACTGGATATGCCCTTTACAGGGAATGTGTAAAAATTAACTATTTCAAACTTCAATTGAGAGGAGGTTAGACCACCATTCTCGCTGCTGAACCTTAACCTCGTCGTCTCCTTCCCCGACCCAAAAAAAAAAAGCTTCAATTGAGAGAGCTAAATATGAATTCAACATAGATAAAAACAGTAATGTCCTTATCAACCTCACTAATGAGGGAAAAAAATGTCAAAAACTTGTGCACATCAAAACTTATGATGAATTGTTATTCTATGGTCCACAGTTTGAGGTTGGAGAAAGTGACGCCTTTGAAATATGGTTAGAGTAGGAGGGAATAGGGGTGAAACGGCGCTTTCAAGGGAATTGTATATTGGTTTGACTATTATGTGGAATCATTAGACAAGTTTGGATCTTCTCCTGTATATAGAAGACGTGTTATTCCTCAAAACAATGTTTATTTATACTAAAACAATGTCGTTCTATTTAATAAAATAATATCGTTTTACTGTGAAACGACGTCGTTTTGATAAACAACGCCCATGCCATGAAAAAGCTAATAGCAAAGGATTCAGATCCATCATTAGACTCGTTTTTTTTTTTTTGGTAAAAATCATAGTTAGTTTGTGAACTTTGCCTTTGGTCTCAATTTGATTCCTAAATTTTCAATCGTCTCAACATTAAAATGGATCAAATTAGAATAATCTATAGTTGATCTAACGATGAAAATTGAAAGAAGACTTGATTAAGACTAAATTATGATAAAAAAAACTTTATAGGGTTTCTCTTATATTTATACAACCAAAAAATAAAATAAAATAGGAAACCTCATTTAGTAAATAAAATAACCACGTACGGGAGAGAGTCCCCTTCATTGATAAAGAAGAGATACTCTAAGGATGAAGACTCTAAACTTTTTAAGATCTTTATTTCTAGGGCTAATGTTACTTTGAACCTTGAAAAATGTTTTAATTTTTATTTTACATCCTCAAACATTAAAAATCTCAATTTATAACTTCAATGTTATAATTTGGTAACAATGTGGACCTTACCCAAATTATTGTTCAGTTTTTCGTCATAAATTGAAACACATGAGTTATAAGTGCTTTAGTCATAAGCTTATGTATAAATTCATAGACTATTGGTGCCTCATGTGAGTTGCACATGTGTTTGGACCTAACATATAAAATCATGAAGATATTCAATGCATTGATATCTAGCAAATCTGAAGACATCAAGTGGAGGCCACGTGGCAGAATCTAAAGAAAAGTGGGAATTGATCAGCCACAACTTTGTTTCAAAAAAGGAGATAGTTGTCTAGTAGCTACCAGTAAGATAATCGTTGATAGAGGTAGAATCATCGAAGTTATTGGCTATAAAAGGCGGATAGTGGAAAAGTTAAAGGACACATTCAAACTCCTACAAAACCCACAGTTAAAGCATTTTAGTAGTATTAAGTTAGTTTTTAGGAGGTAGTTATTAATGTAATCAATATTGTTAATTCAGTCTTCCTGTAACTAAAATCACTTCGATTGGATTAATAAATGATTTCTCTTTTATTAGTTCACAATACTATATGTTTATCGCTTTAAATTTCATCCAAGGAAATCCTAAAATAAGATAATTGAACTCATCACTAATAATCGCCTGAAAATTGTTCTCAATTGAGTCTCCTCTGTCGATAACAACTGATTTTAGAGCAACAATCTTATAGACTTAGCCTTTATTTGATTGACGAAACCTTATTTTTGATATATAAAACGATCAAACTGATCGCAGACAAAGATATACAACGATGAACACACCTCATTATCATGTCTGAAGCACTTATAACTCATGTGTTTCAATTTATAATAGAAAATTGAACGGTAGTCTAGGCGAGGTTCACATTTCTACTAATTCATAACATTGAGGGTGTAAATTAAAATTTTTAATGTTTAAAGGTGTAAGTTGAGAATCGAAATATTTTTCAGAATGCAAAATAAAATTAACCCTTATTTGTATCGAATCTTTCTTGAACTATTAATAGAAATACTCTACCTTGAAGTTGAAGGCCACAAAAAAGATAAACAAGGAGAAGGACTAAAGGGGGAGAGGATAGTTATCAATCATAGCACAACATGCACAAGACTGCAAAAATAATATTGGGTGATAATGGGTCAAAGATTAATTTTTCACCAACCCTCAAGTCTCTCCCCAGAAGAAGGGGAAAAAGTATATGTTCCACGTTAATCTAGAAAGACAAAATCAAACTTTAGATAACCTAAATGTTGATGCTTTGGAGATAACATGAGAAAAACAATAAGCCAAGACAAAAATGCATTGCCGGTCTTTTTATTTTTAGTGTACCAAACAAGATAACTGGGTAAGATCAGGAAGAAAATTCTAGAAGAGTGATGAGAGAGTATTAATACTCATTGTTGTTTCATTAGCTCCTCCGTTTTTGGCCAAATTTCATGGTTTAGACCTCTAAATTAGTGTTTTTTTGTCATTCTAGAAAAGAATTAGAAAATCATAACAAATCATAAGAAACTCTGATTTTAATGTCTTATGTTCTACTAAACTCTATGCAACACATGTTTTTATGTTTATCTCTTAAATTAAATTCTTTTGGTTTTTGATAAATCTTGTGGAATAGAGGATTTTTTTTATTTTGGGAACGTCCCTACATATATTCTGTTTATGTATCATGAACATTCATTTAAAAATATCATATTTCAAAGTTTTTTCTTACCTCTATGTAGGTTCAGAATATTGTGTGCATATTTGATACATAAAAATCTTGATTTGTTTGTATCTCTGTTAACAGTGTGTTACATCCGCTCTAGTAAAACCACATGACCTCTAACACTTGTTGGCAGCCAGAGGGGAAACTAGCCGCCCTATGGGATTCGTCAAGAAAAATTCCACAATATTGCAATAAACTAGTGAAAATGATTGTCAATCATTTTCCATGGCACATGGAAGACAAGTAGGGTTGATAATCGAGTCAAGCTGTTCAATCGGACTCAATTCGATTCAGACTAGGCTCGTTGATTATCAACCCTAAAACAAAGCTATTTCTTCTAAAGAAAAAAAAAGTTAAAATTGTTGGTCATAGAATATTATTCTCACCAGACAAACATAACCAAAAATACAAAGATTTGGTCACATAAATAATCTAAGGTTAAGATAATTTAGGATTTGATCCAGATGTGAATATTTACTACTATTCCTGATGATGATAACCAAGATCTACTTTTCTTTTCCCTTTTTTAGTGATTATTATCTATCTAGAGAGTATAGAGAATAAGATGAACAACTCAATTCCTATGGTCAATCAAGAGTTATTACCCAAAAAAATTAATCCAATGGTTAATCAGAATCAGACTCAACGAAGACTACATTATTTACAGAATTAATCCTAGGGCCAGGTATTATTATGAGAGAAAGGAATGATGAGGTTCGAACCCATAATAATTTTCTTGCGTTCATGGAAATTTAGTTTTTGATTTCTTTAAAATTTGAATACTGAAAAGAGAAAGAAACGACTTACTTGATGGATTCGATGAAATTTGAGGTTGTTCTTGAGAGAGCTTTGTATCTTGGTTTTCTTCAGCCATGGCGTGAATCGACCAAAACCCACAAGAGAACGAGGATTGTTGGCTACAACTATCCAATATGGGTCATTTTATAGAACCCAAAAAAAAAAAATCTTTCTTAGCCGGCCACCGGTCACCGACCGAGAAAAAAATAAAATAAAATAAGTGCCGACCAACAAAAGACTTTGTTGGGGGAAAATTATATAGATTCTTCGTCATGTCTTTTATACAATCTTGATCTAAATTTATTTAATCGTGCCTTATATTGTGGTTGTTATTTAAATTTGACTATGTATGATGTACAATATTATTTTAAATACGCATATTAATCGTATATTTTTAATACACTGCATAGTACAAATATGTCTATTTCGATATCACTAAGAGAGGTGATATTATTGAGCAATACTATTATAATTTAATTTATTGATATAATTTGTTGATTTAATTCACTATGACATTTGAATTGACTGTAAGACTCATCAAATATTGAAATTTTATGTTAATCTAATAATTCCTGTGAAACTACATCATTATACCAATAAATTATATCAAATTTTTAAATCTAAATAATATTATTCAATAATATATTTGAAATTAAATTTTTATACTTAAAATTTGATAAGCCACCTGTTTATCTCCTCATATATCTATATTTTTACTTATAAATATTAGCATCTATGAAAAATTTTTGATTTTCTATTTCACTCCTAATTATTACCTTAAAGACAATTATGCCCACAAAATAATAGTTAGATAAATTTATCTTTAGCATCTATGAAAAACTATTGATTTTTCATTTCACACCTAATTATTACCTTAAAGGCAATTGTGCCCACAAAATAATAGCTAGATAAATTTATCTTTATGACTTTCAAATTTTTTGCTAGATAAATTTTATTACTAATATTTCAAAATTTTTGCTAAATAAACTTTATAACTATATATTAGTCAAATAAACTTTATCTCTATGACTTCCAAAATTTTTGCTAGATAAACTTTATCCCTATGACTTGCTAGTACATTATTCTTTTCTATTCAATTGGTAAACTCAACTAGAATTCTAATACTATGGGAAAATTTTTTGCTATTTTTTAGGTGATAAACATAACCATCAAAAATTCATTATTCATTGATATATAATAAAATATTAGTAGAGTAAAAAGTCAAAATCATATATTTTTCTTTTTGTCATACATGTTAGACTTCTAAAATGTTTTGAATTGCTTTATTAGAAGTATATATAGATAGATCTCCTGTAACACTATTAACGTATTTGACCTTATATCGTTGCGGTAAATTTTTTTTTCAAAATCTATTAAAATTAGTGGTCTTGCATCTCTATCTCCTTGACGTTAAACATATTATGGTTGTGCAGATTGGTGGGTCGATGGTGCTTGGGTATCGTCAACCTATAAGCTTTTTTTTTCTCGGTCAGAACATGCATATTGTTGGTATAGTATTTTTTTTACTTTGTTTTCCATCTATTTGGGTATTGTCATTGCATAAATGCTATTGTCTACCTTGTAGCAGTTTTTGGAATTGAAACTAAAATTAGTTTGTATTCGATTGAATTAGTGTTCCCATCAAAGTGATAAT